ATATATATATATATATTCGTTAAAACTCGTGAAACAGTGTTTTATACAAATCGTGATTATACGATTAAAAACTGTTACTGATTGATGAAAATAAATATTGAGTCTTCTTGAATATCGAGTTAATTCCTTATTTTATAAATTATCCAAGAAATGAAAAATCTTGTAAGTTTTCCTGTTATTTTATTTTTATTTATTTCGAGCAATCATTCTCGTGATGTGTGATCAACTCGCACTGGTATCTTTAGATATCTTAGAATACAAAGGGGAATACGAAAGAGAGGGAGTAAAGAAAGTTAAAGGAAGCAAATGTTAACGTTTCATCGGGATGAAAGGAGCGAACAATGCGTTATTAACTTGGAGGTATTACGTTTTCAGCGTTAAATTATCCCGATGAAGAGATGTATAATGGTTTCGGGGCCGATCGAGCGCGTTGGGTCGTTGATTCGATTTTCTGATCTATAGCCAGAGATTGTGGTTCATTAAGCGAGAATGCAGTGTTGATTGTGCGATGAATTTTGTAATTGATGCGATGGAGTTGTCTTCCTCCTTATTAAATGGATTATTATTTAACGTGTATCGCATTTTACGCGATTATTATTATTATTATTATTATTATAAAACCAGTCGAGTTAAAAATTTAATCGTGTTACGAAGAATATCAACTGTTATCAACGTTGAAACGTGATTTGTTAAATTTTTTTGGCAAGAATTTGTGGAAAGAAAATAGATCGAATCGATTTTTATCTTGATCAATAAATATAACGATAAACTCTTGAAACTTTGTTGTTTTACAACATTAGGTTCTTAAATCGATCGGATTCTTAGACGATTATTTCACAATAAATGCCTCGAGTGATTACGGGTTTTCTTTTCAGCCGTTTTAATTTTAAAATTTTATTTGAAAGATAGGGTTTTTTTCTTCCTTCCCTCCTGCTTTCCTTCCCTTTCTTCATTGCATATGCAGATTATTTTTAAGCTTTTTCGCCAAATACGTATATTCTTTATTATTCATCCAGTGAACGCATTAGCGAAACGTCACCTAGAATTTTCCCGATGACCACACGAATCTTTCCACGTTTTTTACCCATGCCAAGCTTTAATTCCATTATTATAATCCTCTTTTTATCCCATGGCGTCGTGCCACGGAATTTTAATGCAAAAATAAAACTTATTATCATTAACAAGTTGAAGTTAAAATATGATCGTGTTTCTCTGTGTACGTTTTCAGTCAAGTTATTATTATCTATCCTTTAAATAAGTAATAAATAAGAGAAGTCTATCTCTA